CTGGGAAATTGCAAGCCCGTTCTTGTTTCTATCCCTCAACCCAATTCCATTGTGAACCTTGCGATTGTGCTGATCAATATTGTCGACCCCCCCGCGCGCCCGTTGCCCTGCTTTACCGCCTGTCGCGGTCTCGATGGTTTCCCCTACAACAGGTGTTGACGATCTGTTTTTTTATCTGCGCTTGCGTCGTGTCGAGTAACGCCAACGCCGGCTTCAACGTTGTCCTGACGGCCATGATGTACGTGGCGTACGTGGGGTTGTTGGCGGTCGTCTTCAACAGAAAGCGAGCTGTGAGTCGATTGTTATGAAGGTGTGCTTGATTGGTTGCTGGCTTTTTATTTTATTTCTGCTGCGCACAAGCCCCGGTTGTTTCCTTCCAGCTGTTGTCGTTGTTGTTGTTGATGTTATGGCTGTTGTTACCGTCGGTGCGGTTTCTCCTGGCGAGTCTCGGCAGGCGTTTTCGTATCTGTTGTTGATGTGTTGTCGTCGTCGTTGTCATCGCTGTCCTCGCCGGCGTCGTTGATGTTGGCAACCGGGCGAAGCACGTTTTTGATAGCTCCACGGTCGATCTTGTACTCGTCGTTATTTTTGCTGCACGGTGCGGGTCACGTGAACCGGGGGAAAATATGACATCCTACACGCGCGGAAACAGCGCTGAATTTCAGTGTGCAAGGCCCCGTATCAAGCACCAGAGCACGATCGACTGATCGGTTTCCAAATCGAGGGGGGCTGTTATTTGGCCGAGTCTGGACATTCGAACGATGCGGCGTAACTCCGGGTACTTCGTATTTAGTATTGAGGCTCACTAGCACGGGAGGTCCTCGATGGGCCAAGAAAGGTTGCTCTTGGACGCACCTCGTGCAGTGATTGGTGTGCTCGGCTGGAACCTCGGGCTATGTATAGCCGCTTATGGCAACTCTTAACGGCAAGGGTGCCAACGGAAGTGCCCCCACGCCCCCCCCCCCCCCCCCCCCCCCCCCCCCCCCCCCCCCCCCCCCCCCCCCCCNTGTGCTTGCCCGAACACGTGCCCCCCCTACTCCCTTTCTGACTGTTTTGTGTTTGGGAACGCAGCCCCGCCCGGCCTACGCTTTTAGTTTCTTTTCCCGGTGGAAAATTGCTGACCAAGTCGAGAAGCGTTGAACACACCCTCCCTTAACCGTTGAACCCATGAAATGAACGGTGAAAAGCCAGTACAAGTGTTTCCGGTTATTTACTCCGAAAGTGCGATCCTTCTTTTTCTGCTGCTTCGAACGAGTAAGCATTTTACCACGTGTTTTCGTGCGCTGCACACGGCCTTTGTGCCCTTTCTCCTGGTATTTTTCTGCTTTTTGCGTGGTCTACAGACGGACGGGGGGATGGACACTGCGATGGCGATCGAGCCCATCGTGGGAGGCGGTCTGATCGGCATCACCACCATGATGTGCTTCCTGTCTCTCATGACCGCCGTATATTGGGGGCAAATGTCGGGGTGAGGGCCGACTCTGAAGCGTTTTGCCGTGAGTTGAGACTGTTGCTTTTGCTTTTGCTGTTGCTGTTGTTGCTATTGCTGCTGCTTCTGCTTCTGCTGCTGCTGCTGCTGCTGCTGCTGCTGCTGCTGCACCTAGAATCATTTCTACGTTGTCGGCAGCGTTTCGTCCAGACGTTGTCGTTGTTGCGGGGGGAGTACTGGCGTAGTGGCCACCCGTTTGGTGAGCTCAGGCCAGGCACGTGCTTTGTCATACGTGAGAGCGAGCAAGGTTGCGCTTTGTTTGTTGCGATCGTCATCGTGGTGTTGTTGTTGTTGTTGTTGTTGTTGTTGTTGTTGTTGTTGTCGGCACCCCGACATGGCGATGGTGTCACATCGCCATTATCGATGGTGTTCTCGGCAGACCCCCTGCCGCGAAGCGGGTGCTTGCTCTACCCTCAACTGTGTCCGCACGCACAACAAAGCAAGAAAATACGCACCAATTGGAACCACGGGACTTGCTCTCTGAAACTTGGAGGTCGTGGATACCCCCATGTCTACGCGAAGATGTGGAGGATACAGCCAGAACCATCGGGCGGCGGCAGTATTTATGAGTTGCCGGGGCGGGAGTCATCGTGTGCCTTAGTTCCAGTGCGAAGGGAGGGTGGGCGATGATCCCACTTGCTGGTTTCGCTCCGTCGGGCGGTCTTGTGTCGGGAATTCCCGTACTCTCTCATGTATGACTTGTTTCTGTGTTCTTCTCCTCCGCTTGGTACCTCATTTGTGACTTGCGCTTGATTTTTCTTTGACACTCTTCGGGACGATATGTCCCCCCTGTCCCCTACTGATCTGCGTGCCTGAAAACCCAACTCGGAAGGAACACGAAGAGGCCCCCCAAATGCTGCATATGGTGTCGGTGCCTGTATAATGGAGCCGAAGTGGTAGATGCGCCGTCTAGTGCAGGCCGCGCGGCCCGTCTGATGTGTGACCACACGCAAGCAACAAGGGGACTGCATGGGAGGAGCGCCTAACAATGGTTGAAGGGACGACATTGGCACATGCCTTCCAATGTTCAAGGGGGTAGTTTGATGAACGCCCACATGCCAATGATCAAAGGACTAAAAACATTTGACACAACCCCATGTACCGATGTTCACGCAACCCCCCCCTCGCCTACGCTCCCCCCGGCTACCTTTGGCCATGGACAGGTGCGAGGATGACACGGACGACGTGGACGGGTACTCGTGCTACAACTCCTTCGGTATGGCAGCCGTGGCGTGGTTCGCCTCTTTTCTACTCATCTCGGAGGCCGTAACCCTGGCCGCGTTGATCTTGTGGAAGGAAGACATCTTTTTCGTAGATGGCGGGTGAGTGTTGTGATTCTTGTCACGGCGACGGACTGGAGAAGTTCTGTGCCCCGCGGCTTTTTCAAGTCAAACGAAGACGAACGTACACGTGTACGGGTAGGGTGGTAACCCCCACCTGTATCTTGCATACAAGTACTGCCACGTACAACGCACCACCGAATACGCCGCACGTTTTGTCCTCCGTTACTCTCGGGCGGTGGGGGCTTTTCGTGCGCCATGCACCATCATCAGGTACGACAACTTCGACGCACAAGAGGACCGCGGGGCGTACAGCTCTTCGGCCTACGCGTACGACGGGGCTACCTTTGGCACCGGGGGGATAGGAGGGGGCCTCGGGGGCGGCGGCGGGGTGGGCGGCAACGGGGACGATGACGGCGCACCACAACAGGCGGATCTGTAGGAGAAGAGCGGCAATCGATTGCCGTATATATCGCAACGGTGTTGTAGCGTGTGCCATTCACGTTTACTAGCTGTTGCAGGCTTGCCATCACGTTTTGCCTTTTTTTTTTTCGTACGATAACAGCAGGAGCTGTAAACGTGCCTATTGTTTTTTCACATACAGCACTAGGGCTTTGAATCTTCGGGTACCAGTCGAGGGCATTGTGTGTGTGACCCGAAGTACACACGCGTGGCCGTGTTCGTGATTAAGGGCCGACCCACCGGTGCAAGAGGAACACTTGTGCGTTAGTTTGGTTCTGGCGGCGAGGCGCCGAAGCCTGTCGTAACTCGATGCCACGCCGTCCATGTCTAAAGGAAGGAGCGCAGCTCCGTTGTGAATACTGTCTTAGCCTTGCTGTGTACGGGGTTGGGCATGTTTGTGCAACGCTGCCTTGGGTCTTTCTTTTGCAGCTGCTGCCGTTTTTATTGCGGGTAGTTTGATTTGGCGATGCCCCCCCCCCCCCCCCCCAGGGGTTTTGCTCATAGGGCATTCAGCTACAACTGAGTCAACGCGAGTTGCACGCTTGTGCGTTTGTAGGGACCTAAGATATGTTTAACACTTGCCGGGCGCGCTCGGTAACACTTGAGGTAGACCGGTTTTGGACAAAAAACACCTGCTGCTGTTATCGGAACGTGGAGCATGAGGCGCAGGCATGTCCTTATCATATGCTTCGGCAAGCCCCACGTGCTGCGACCTGCTTTGACAGCATAGTTTTATTTCTTCTGACATGAAGCGGCCGGTCTCTTCGATGTCTCGAGTATGTCGCAAAGAACGGTAGCACATGCTATGCGACAGGGGAGACAACTACGCACAATGCAGCCCCTCATTCTACCCACGAAGTAGTTATGCTGGACCGCACATGAAAATGCGGCAGCAAAAAGCAGTTCCTACCGTAGTGTCAACGAACTCCTTGTTGTTTTCGCTTGTGAAGCTGGAAAAAAAATGGCATCGAAGAAAAAAAAAAGAATTGATACACAGGAAAATCAACAACTTGTCCAAATTATCGCATAAGTCTCCCTCAAAGTGAGCTTGGTCTGATACATTTATGTACACTGCAGTATGCAGTCTTGAGACGCAAATCGGAAACCTGGATGTGTGTTTTCCACTCGCCGGCGCCGCGCAACAGAAACACCAATGCTAGCACGATCTACGTAGCAATGCCGAGTTGTGTGAATGCAGAACACGCAGTGCCAAGTCTCTCGAAACGCGCGTCGCGCGATAACACGGCCGCGCGGGGATTTACACGACGAGCCACACGACGAGCCACAGCAGTGCTATCTAAAACGGGCAGGGCAATAGAACGAGGAAGAGGCTTCTCGTTAACAAGGCGGCGATTCCTACGACACACCAACAATAACAGAGACGACCAAAGAAATCATCTACTCCGAAGGACCGCAAAAAAAAAACGGCCAGGAAGGATGCTCAAGTGGAGCATAAAACATGGCGAGAGAGAAAACAGTAACCCCCCGACATGAAACTGCAAACTGTTGAGCGTCTCGGTCTACAGATGCACTATCGCCAAGTATCATCGCCCCTGCGCCCCCCCCGGCGCGGTAGATGGCGATGACGACGACGCCTGTTGCTTCAATCGGAATAGCTGCTCGCGTTGCTCGTCGTTGAGGTGGGACACATCGGCTGCGCTCAAGGACCGACCCACCTGGACCCAGAGTCAGAACAGCCGTCACATACACAAAAGAGAGAGAGAGAGGTTCAACGTCAGCGGGCGTCGTGAGGAGGCTGCGCGCGTGTAACTGATCTACGCTCCGATGGCCATCGACTGCGCTAACCGGCTGACCCAATGGGACATACGATGTCCGTCCCCAAATCGAACGCTAAACTATCGTTTCCGGGGAGCTTCTTTCGCAGGATGCACACTGACCAAAACGATACCGGAGCCATGGCCGGAGAAGCGCGGCCACCATCGATGCAACTACATAAAAGGCGGGTGGAGCCACGACAAGCGCGACGATAATGGTCTTCAAAACTGCCAATTGTCGAACACAAGCGCCTTTCAAACTCTGAAGGAGCAACATTTGACTTCCACACCTGCCCGCGCTGGTTTCGAATCTGCTCGAGGTAGCTCCGCCACGCGTGCATGAACTGGACCACCTGGTCCCCTGTGGCTTCTTTGTGGGCTTTGAACTCCGACCTGCGTGGGTGCGAAAGGCACAACAACAAGCAGCGGCACTGGACGTGGTATACAGCAAGCAGACATAAATGCACCCCCCTCGGGGCAAACAGGAACATCGGCAGCAGCAATGGCTGGTTCCTTTTCTTTTCAAGTACTACGCAGCAAAACATACCATTTTCGGCTGGGGCGGCGATGATGCCGTCGGAGATGAAATCACGCCCGACCCGCCGTCATACTTGAACCTCCAACTGCCGTGACGTGACGGCTTTAAAGCTCCCCAACCCGCCCCTAGGCAAACGGTCCTACGCAAACTTCTTCTCTTCTCTGAATAATGGCTTCGCACGACTGCCGCGTTTCTGGCACGTGTTGGTCGAACGCCCGGTACCAACGCCGCCAAGCAGCGGGTGGTGTGTCCGTACGTGCGTCATGCAGGTTTTGGCGCATTCGTGACCGCGGATCTGATTTGGTTTGCGCCACAAGTACTCCTGGCGCTATTATCTCTCCTACTAGTGCAGTATTTTAGGTCACAAGTACTCCTGGCGCCACTAGCATATTACTTCTAGCGCAGACCGCCGCGCTTGCCACGAACCCAACAGCGGAGGTCTTGAAAACACAACGACTCCTACAGCATGTATGACCTACGTCCGAACACTGGATACTACGCCGCGATTAAAGCTTTGCACTGTTTTTTTTACCACTTTGTCGACGAGCGGCGCACCAACGGATGTTCTAAACCGGCAAGGGCGGTGGTTATAGAAAGGGGGGGCAAGCCGTCGACGATTGCAATGGATGTCGGAGGCCCCGACAATAATCAAGGTCCAGAGGGGCCCGCAAACAACCGGGGCAGGACACCATCTGGGAAGTGGTTACACCTGTGTCCAGTAGCGGGTCTCAGGTGTGTCGAGAGAGGTCAATCGTGCAGTGGAGAGAGTCGCAAGTAGGTCTGGGCAGCCGCCAAAAAAGCGGGCAGGCCCGTATGCATACATGCGACAAGTGACTGGCATCACCTATCCGCTGCGTGTAGCATAGGTTGCTGCTACTGCAACAATCTGGATGGTTGATAAATCTAGTGTACGGATGCTGAGGGTGTATTGTGTGGTCTCGTCCTATTTATGATGGCGACAGTCCCCCCATTTTTCGTGGTGAGACGTGTACTAGAGTACTACACTTTTCGTGTATTTTTTCGTACAACTACAACCATCCAGGGTAACACAGTAGGGGGGAAACACCAGGGCGTTTTTTTTCTTCTTTTTATTTCTTTTCATGCCCCACCTTCCTCCTGCGGTGCGTGCTGAATTTTATTTTTATCGCGAGAAGGGTCCAGCCGTCCCTTTCCCTCGTCAACGGTGCTAACGTCGAAGTTTGGTACTCACGAGAGCTCTTTTAGCTACATTTTGCTTTCACCCGCAAATTTCGTAAATTTTTCACCCCATGGGGATTCGACCTCACGACCTCTGCGACTAGCGGATTACGAGGATACCACTATTATAGACCAAAGTGGTGATAAATTGGATATCCCCGGGTTTTCTTGCCCCCCTCCCTCCCCCTGGTGTTTGCCATCGGGTTTGGGTTTTTCGTCGCTTGGCAACGACGTTGTAAAACAAGCCGCCCCCCCCGGTGTTTGGCCATGCCACCCCCCCCCTCGCAATCTAGACTTCAGTGGGTTGGCGCTGTTGGCAAAGCGCTGTAAAACACGCCACCCCAAATATAGCCCCCATAGTATGCGCTACCAAAGACGCGTGACGCATGGATGCGTGGAGTGAGGATTGCTTACGAAAACCTCACAGGTTGAGTGATGTAGGAGATTGCCGGACACATAGACGTGTTGAGTGATTATAGCTGTATACTGAAACCCCACGGAAAGGGGAGGTTTGAGATTGCCAGACACATAGACGGGTTGCGTGGGGATAGCTGCTGGAACCCCACGGGTTGAGTGATGTTGGAGTGCCGGACACATAGACGCGTTGAATGAGGATAGACACATATTGAACCTCACAGGTTGTTTGTATTGGAGATTGCGAGACACCTAGACGTGTTGTGTGAGGATAGCTGCATACTGAAACCTCACAGATGCATTGGTTTTTGCCAGACACATAGACGCGCTGAGTGGGGATAGCTGCATATTGAAACCTCACAGATGGATTGGTTTTTGAGTTTGCCAGACACATAGACGCG